AATTTTGGGAGCAATGTACTGTATAATTGCTATACTTAACGAGTAGTTTTAGTGAGCTGGTAGTAAGTAATGGGAATAATTTTTTTCCTAGATAGTTAAAAGCCATCCCTCTCAAGATTAGTTGACTTATTAACAGCGAGGTTTTAGTTCTTTTTTGTGTAGTTGATTTTTTTTTAGAATTCTTCATCCTTTTCTTTACCTTCTTCATTTTTCCTTCATAGGGAATTTTAATTATCAAGACTTTTTCATGAAAATTAATACCTTTAAACCTTTTTATAGGCCTTTTGTGTGTGTGCGTTTGGGAAGATGCCATGGAATTCCACAGAGCTATCCAGGATATATTGCAATAACAGTGTCTGGGCCAAATCAGAAATCCTTTTTGTTGTTTTACTGCCACCATCCCCACTCTTCTTCCCACCCTAGATGCAACCCAGTGTCTGCCTCCTGACTCTCTATTTACAGAAACTAATGTCTACATGAGATGTTAAAGGGAATTTTCAAAGAATATTTTTTTTTTCATTTACTTTTTTAAGGTTAGTTAGATATGTATTCTAGAGATTGCTCGGTTTTTTTCTCTTGGAAATTTTGAAGTCTAGTTTAAATAACTACATTGATTGAATTAAGTACTATAGTAATAAATGTGAGTATAAATACCTGACTTCTAAATTTAGGATTTCTCCAGCTTATTCCTGTTTACTTTCTTAACTATCTTAAATATTTCTGTCATTTTTATTATTAATATACTGAATTAGTGTAGCGTAGATTAATCTGAGAAATCACAAACATTTATTTGATCAAAGTGAATTCTCCCTTTACAAATGTAAAAGCATCTTTACCTTATTTTAAAGTAATGTTATTTATTGTAGATGAAGTAAGTTCTTCCAAGCCTGAGATATTGTAAGAGATTGCATACATATGGTCATTCCCATATTTTACTGTTGTGAAAACTGAGAACTTTATGACTTCATTTATTTAGCAACAAATATTTATTTTGCCAAATATTTATTGAGTCTTTTCATATGCCAGGCAGTGTTCTGGATAATAGGAATATATCAGTGAGCAAAAGATTGAAAATTTCTAATTTTATGGAGGTTACATTTTGGTAGAAATTTTCTAATTTATTTTTTAAGTTTTAACTTTCATTGTAGAATAAAGGGTACATGTGCAGGTTTACTATTACATGAGTAAATTGTGTGATGCTCAGGCTTGCGGTCCCAGTGATCTCATCACCCAGACAATAAGCACAGTACCCAACGATACTATGATCGGCACCACTGCACTGCATCTGGGCAACAGAACGAGACCATCTGTAAAATAAAAGTAAAAAAGAAAGTATCATTAAAATAGCTCATAGTTTCCTACCTCAAGAGGGTAAACTTCCTCTGTTCATGAATTTCCCTCTATGTTGCTTCCAAATCTAAAGTATTTTAAAGTTATTTTTTAAATTTCTTGGATGTTTGCTCCTGAATGGTGTTGCAGTTTTTTTAGTAAGTGCTAAAGAATGTCCTAAAATTACTAAATAAAACAAAACTCACCTATATCTAGTGTTTTCTCTAAAAAAATTTTTTTGGCCAGGCGCACTGACTCACGCCTGTAATCCCAGCACTTTGGGAGGCCAAGGCGGGCAGATCACAAGGTCAAGAAATAGAGATCATCCTGGTCAACATAGTGAAATCCCATCTCTACTAAAACACAAAAATTAGCTCGGTGTGATGGTGTGTGCTTGTAGTCCCAGCTACTCGGGAGGCTGAGGCAGAAGAATTGCTTGAACCCGGGAGGCAGGGGTTGCACTGAGCTGAGATTACACCACTGCACTCCAGCATGGCACCTGTCGACAAAGCGTAACTCTGTCTCAAAAAAAAAATTTAAGTAAGAAAACTGTTGCAATAGAACACATTTTGTGAAGTTACTTATTTGTCAAAGCAAGATACTGTTTTTTAAGAAACATTGCAAAATAGAGCTGGGCATGGTGGCTCATGCCTGTAATCCCAGCACTTTGGGAGGCTGAGGCAGGTGGATCACCTAAAATCAAAAGTTCAAGACCAGCCTGGCCAACAACATGGTGAAACCCCATCTCTACTAAAAATACATTAGTTAATTAGCCGGGTGTGGTGGCTGGCACTTGTAATCGCAGATACTCGGGTGGCTAAGGCAGGAGAATTGCTTGAACCTGGGAGGCAGAGGTTGCAGTGAGCCGAGATCATGCCACTATACCCCAACCTGGGTGACAGAGCAAGACTCCATTTCAAAAAAAAAAAAAAAAAATGCAAAATAGTAGTTGAACTACCAGCTGAATCAAAGTTGAAAGTTTTGCACTGGTGACCTCTAGTGGTCTTGCAGTTAAAAAATTATCTACTGCTAAGTACAAATATCAAGTAATTCTCCCCTGCTGTTCCCCCCCATACAGAGTCTTGCTTTGTTGCCCAGGCTGGAGTGCAGTGGTGCAATCGTGGCTCACTGCAACCTCTGTCTCCTGGACTCAAGCAGTTCTCCTGCTTCAGCCTCCTAGGTATCTGGGATTACAGGCATGTACCACGCCCAGCTAATTTATGTATTTTTAGTAGAGGTGTGGTTTCACCATGTTGGCCAGGATGTTCTCAAACTCCTGGAATGACTGACCTTGTGATCTGCCCACCTCAGCCTCCCAAAGTGGTGAGATTACAGGCGTGAGCCACCATATCTGGCTTCAAATAATTCTTATGTGGACTTACATGCTGATTGTTGAATAAATTAAGACGATATGTAAAATGTCCTGCTGGGCATGGTGGGTCATGCCCGTAATCCCAGCACTTTGGGAGGCCGAGGCAGGTGGATTACCTGAGGTCCAGAGTTCAAGACCAGCTTGGCCAACATGATGAAATCTCATCTTTACTAAATTACAAAAATTAGCCAGCTCTGGTGGTATGCATCTGTAGTCCCAGCTACTTGGAAGTCTGAGGTAGGAGAATCACTTGAGCCTGGGAGATGGAGGTTGCAGTGAGCCAAGATCATGCCACTGTGTTCCAGCCTGGGCAACAGAGCAGAATTCTGTCTCAAAAGAAAAAAATAAAATGTGGTCCCAAATGAACACCTTTTCCTGTATTCAAAGGAAGAAAAGCTATCCTGAAAATCAACAATAATATTTCTTACTCTGAATTATCAACTGAAATTGTATTGGGAAACAAGTTTTAAAAATTAATTTTTGCCTTTGCGTTACACTTCACATCAATGTAATTAACAAAATTTGTTGAGTTGGGCACATAAAAAATGAATTTTCTGTTGCCTATTTTATTGAGATAACTGCACATTGCATTGCAAAATGCTTTTGGAGGGGGCCTAGGTCTTTGACCTCATCTTCACAATAAAAATACACTTATAAAATCTTGCCTTTTATTTAGATTTTCTTTGATATCTCTCTTACCAGTTTTTTGTAGTTTTCTTCCTGTGCATGATTTGTTTGGTGCTAAGGTAGATGGCACTGTGTCAAAATCTAAATATGTATTATTATTGTATAGGGAAGTAACGGACTTTTGTTTATTAATCTTGTTTCCTATAACCTTGCTGTAATTGACCTTTTTTTTTTTTTTTTTTTTGAGACGGAGTCTCACACCATTGCCCAGGCTGGAGTGCAGTGGCATGATCTCGGCTCCCTTCAACCTCCGCCTCCCAGGTTCAGATGACCTTCCTGCCTCAGCCTCCTGAGTAGTTGGAACTACAGGTGTGTGCCACCACACCCAGCTAATTTTTGTGTTTTTTAGTAGAGACGGGGTTTCACCATGTTGGCCAGGTTGGTCTTGAACTCCTGGGCTCAAGTGATCTGCCTGCCTTGGCCTCTCAAAGTTCTGGGATTACAAGCATTAGACACCCTGCTTTATACGTAAACTTCTTTGATTCAGGGTTCTTTTTGTTGATGTTTTAGAATTTATAACATAGGTCATCTGCCAACAGTTTTATTTCTACTTTCTCAATCTGTATGCCTTTTCTTTTCTCATCTCCTGCGTTAGGTAGGACTTTGAGTAGGATGTTGAATAGGTGTGATAAAAGAGGAGATCCTTGCCTTGTTCCCAGTCTTAGGGGGGAAAGCATCTACTTTTTCATAATTGAATTTGATATTTAACTGTAGGTTTTTCATAGATGTTCTTTATTAAGTTGAGGGTGTTCTCTTTATTCCTGTTTATTGAGAGTTTTTGTCATGAATGGGTATAGGATTTTGTCGAATTCTTTTCTGTATCCATTACTACGATCATATGATACTTCTTTTTCTTTTAGCTTGTTTAGCCAACTAATGATGTGTTGTAGTAGCAGTTTTGAATGTTGAATCTGTCTAGTATACCTGAAGTAAATCATACTTTGTTGTGGTGTATAGTTCTTTGTTGGATTTTTGCTAATATTTTGTTAAGGAGTTTTGCATCTATGCTCATGAGAGATACATTTGTAGTTTTCCTTCTAGTGCATTATCTGGTTTTGATATTAGGATAATGCTGGCTTCATCAAATGAGTTAGTAAGTATTCCTTTTGCTTCTGTTTTCAGGAATAGATTGTAAAGAGTTGGTATTTCATTCTTAAATGTTTAGTAGAATTCACCTTTGAGCCCATCTGGGCCTGATGCTTTTTATTTTCAAAGATTATTAATTGTTAGTTCCATTTCCTTAATAGATATAGATCCATTCACATTATTTATTGCTCCTTATGTGAGTTTTTGAAGATTGTGTCTTTTAAGGAATTGGTCCATTTCATCTTAGTTATCAAATTTGTGGGCATAAAGCTGTTTATAATTTTTATTTTCCTTTTAATGTCCGTAATAATGAGGACCCTTCTTTCTTTCCTTTTTTTTTTTTTTTTTTTTTTTTGAGATGGAATCTCACTCTGTCTCCCAGGCTGGAGAGCAATGGCATGATCTCTGCTTACTACAACCTCTGCTTTATGGCTTCAAGTGATTCTCCTGCCTCAGCCTCCTAAGTAGCTGGGATTACAGGTGCCCAACACCACACCCAGCTAATTTTTTTTTCTTTTTTTTGTAGAGATGGGATTTCACCATGTTGTCCAGGCTGGTCTCGAACTCCTTACCTCAGGTGATCTGTCCACCTCTGCCCCTCAACGTGCTGGGATTACAGGTGTGAACCACCACCCTGCCATTAATTTATATATTTACTTATTTATTTATTTCAAACAGGGTCTTCCTCTGTCAACCAGGCTGGAATGCAGTAGTATGATATGGCTCAAGGGAGCTTCCTGCCTCAGCCTCCGGAGAAGCTGGAACCACAGGCACATACCACCATGCCTGGCTATTTTTTTTTTTCTTTCTTTTTGTAGATATGGGGGTCTCAACTATATTGCCCACACTGGTCTTGAACTCCTAAGCTCAAGTGATCCTTCCACTTTGACCTCCCAAAGTGCTGGGACTACAGATGTGAACCACCATGACCAGCCTTTGTAATATATGCCTCGACTGCTGTAAATGTCCCATTAAGCACTGTTTTTGCTACATCCTACAGATTTTGATGAGCTTAATTTTTATTCTCATTTAGTTAAGAATATTTTACTTCTTTTTTTTGAGACAGAGTCTCTGTCGCCCAGGCTGGAGTGCTGTGGTGCTGTCTTGGCTCGCTGCAACCTCTACCTCCTAAGTTCAAATAATTATCCTGCCACTGCCTCCTGAGTAGCTAGGATTACAGGCTCATGCCACCATGCCCAGCCAATTTTTGTATTTTTAATAGAAATGGGGTTTCACCATGTTGGCCAGGCTGGTCTTGAACTCCTGAGCTCTGGTAATCTGCCCACCTTGGCCTCCCAAAATGCTGGGATTACAGGTGTCAGCCACTGTGCCCGGCCAAAATATTTTAAAATTTATCCTGATACTTCTTTGACCAATGTGTTATTTTTGAAGTATGTTTAATTTCCTATATTCTGGGATTTTTTATCTGTCTTTCTGTTACTGATTTCTAGATTTAATTTTATTGTGGTCTGATGGTACACTGTATGAATTCTGATCTTTTAAAGTTGTTAAGGTGTGTTTTATGTTCCAAAATGTTTTTCTTGATGAACATTCCATGTGGGTTTGAGAAGAATGTGTGTTCTGCTGTTCTTAAAGTACTGTGTGGATATCAATTAAATCCAGCTGATTAATGATGTTGTTCAGTTGAACTGAATCTTTACTGGTTTTCTGCCTTGCTGGATCTCTCAGTTACTGGTAGAGGGATGTTGTAGTTTCTACCTATAATAGTGGATTCATGTATTTCTCAATTTTTGCTTCACCTATTTTGACACACTAAAGGTTGTTGTGTTCTTGGAGAATTGACCTCTTTTTCATTATGTAATATTCCTCTTTATTCTGGATAATTTTTCTTGTTCTGAAGTCTGCTTTGTCTGAAATTAATCCATTTAGTCCTACTTTTAAAAAATTAATGTTGCATGGTATAACTGTTCCCAACCATTTACTTTTAGTCATTTTCTGTGTTTATACTTAAATAAAATTTCTTGAAGGCAACCTGTCTGGCATTTTATTTTTTTAATTCACTACAACAGTCTCTTTTGATTGGCTTATTTAAATAATTCACATTTAAAGTTATTATCAATGTAGTTTGCTTAGTACCATATCTGTAACTTTTTTCTATTTTTGTACTCGTTCTTTGTTTATAAACGTTTTCTGCCTTCTCTGGTTTAATTGAGAATTGTTTATAACTGCATTTTGTCTGCTGTCCTAGCATATGAACTATAGTTAAAATTTTTTTCTTTTGGTAGTTATCTTAGAATTTATAAAATATATTTACAATTAATTCAAGTCCACTTTGTTTTATTTTATTTTATTTTATTTAGAGCCAGGGTCTTTCTCTTTCACCCAGGCTGGAGTGTAGTGGCACATTCATAGCTCACTTGTAGCCTTACTCTCCTGGGCTCAAGTGATCCTCTCACATCAGCTTCCCAAATAGCTGGGAATATAGGCATGTGCCAGCAGACCTGGCTAATTTTTTAAATAAGTTTTGTAGACATGTAGTCTTGCTATATTGCCCAGGCTTCAAGTCTGCTTTCTTTTTTACTTCGTTAATTTCAGTAGTTTTGGGGGAACAGGTAGCATTTGGCTACATGGAAAAGTTCTTTGTGGTGATTTCTGAGATTTTGGTGCACCTGACATCTGAGCAGTGTATATGGTACCCATTGTGTAGTCTTTTATTCCTCACCCCCCTCCCATTCTTCCTCCCAAGTCCCCAAAGTTCATTATATCATTTTCAAGTCTTTGCATCCCCATAGCTTAGCTTCCAGTTATGAGAACATATAACGTTTTGTTTTCCATTCCTGAGTTACTTCACTTAGAATAATGGTCTCCAGCTCCATCCCGATTGCTGCAAATGCTGTTATTTCATTCCTTTTTATGGCTGAGTAGTATATACCATGGTACATACATTTATTACATGTTCTTAATCCACTCATTGGTTGATGGGCAATTGTGAATTGTGCTGCTGTAAACATGCATGTGCAAGTGTCTTTTTCATATAATGACTTTTCCTCTGGTTAGAAAACTAGTAGTTTCCTTTTTCTTTTTTCCCCCTAGACGGAGTCTCGCTCTATTGCCAGGTTGGAATGCAGTGGCACCATCTTGGCGCCACTGCAACTTCCGCCTCCCTAATTGAAGCGATTCTGCTGCCTCAGCCTGCTGAGTAGCTGAGATTACAGGCGTGCACCACCGCACCCGGCTAATATTTGTCTTTTTAGTACAGACGGGCTTTCACCATGTTGGTCAAGCTGGTCTTGAACTCCTGACCTCAGGTGATCTGCCCGCCTCAGCCTCCCAAAGTGCTGCAATTACAGGCGTGAGCCATCGTGCCTGGCCTGAAGTCTCCTTTCACATAATACTCTATTGCTTCACAGGCAGCATGGGTACATCATAGTATCGGCAGACCTAACATTAGTGCACTTTGCAGATACTGGGTTTTTTACAATTTGAAGGTTTCTGGCAACTCTGTCAAGCAAGTCTGCAATTTTTTCCAACAGCATGTGCTCACTCATGTGAAAGTTCGTTTTATTGTGAATGTGTGCATAATGGCAAATGTCCCCAGACAGATGTCAGTCTCTTTCAACATTATTCTTTAGTGTGAGGTGGGTAAAGGAGACTGACATATTGACAGGGGCTAGAAAAAGGCAGAGAATTGCCTTTTTCAGGAAATAAGGATAAAAGGCACTTAAGGAAAAAAATTTCCTTCACAGTGGAAAACTGACAATAAAAAGTAATGAGGTAATGGAATGTATAGTGAGTGGCCTTACCTAAACTATTTGTAATACTGTGGCATTTACCATTTCAAGAAATAAAACAGAATTTGGAGTGGGGTGGTAGAATGGAAAGATTATCACTTTTCTTTTTTGTTTTTTTGAGACAGAGTCTCACTCTGTTGCCCAGGCTGGAATGCAGTGGCACGATCTCAGCTCACTGCAACTTCCGCCTTCCAGGTTCAAGTGATTCTCTTGCCTCAGCGGGGATTACAGGCACCTGCCATCATGCACAGCTAATTTTTGTTTTTTTGTAGAGATTTTGTATATTCTAGAGATGGGGTTTCACCATGTTGGCCAGGCTGGTCTTGAACTCCTGACTTCAGGTGGTCTGCCCACCTCAGCCTCCCAAAGTGCTGGGATTACAGGTGTGAGCCACTGTGCCTGGCCCAGATTATAAATTTTCTTGTATTTCAGGAAAGAAAGGCTTTTGAAGTAATCTGTTTTTTGAAATAATATCTATTTTCTGAAGCATGTATCTGCTTGTGAACATAATGTTTTTCAGTTCTTTGTGAATTGTGTGTTAGGAATTAGGTGCCATTTTTATGTATATTTTTCTTTCAAGTTTATATAAAGATGAAATATTAACATTAGGCATCTTAAGGATTATAAACTAGCTAATTTATAGTTATCTTTATTTTAAAAGGGATGTGTTATTTAACAGAAAGTTTGGCTTTTTTTTTTTTTTTTTGAGAGACAGTCTCCTCAGCTTTGAGTAGTTAGGACTACTGGCACACACCACTATACTTGGCCAATTTTAAAAATCTTTTGCAGAGATGAAGTCTCACTGTAGGTTGCTCTCAAACACCTGTTGCAGGCAATCCTACTGCCTTGGCCTACCAAAGTGCTGAGATAGCAGGTGTGAGCCATTGTCTGGCCCATTTTTGTGAATTTAAAATCTTGATATCATGAGTAAAATGCAAAAGTTTGCATTTATTGTTTTCCATTTTTCAGTTTCCTATGTATAGTTAAGGGAAAATATAAATAAATGCATTTTTTTATATTTTTAGGCCCGGATTGCATTTCTACAAGGAGAAAGAAAAGGTCAGGAGAACTTGAAGAAGGACTTAGTAAGAAGAATAAAGATGTTAGAGTATGCATTAAAACAAGAAAGGTATGTGTGCCTCATTTTTATATGAATTAAGTAGAACAATAGTATGCTCATGTATACAATTATACTATGTATTTGGCACCTTTTTTGAAAGGCACAAAGCCTTGCCAAAATACATGATGATGTCTTGATTTGATTCATTCTTGGGAAAGAAAGGCAAGAGATTAAAATAATTCAATAGAAATGTGTTTGGTTATTGAATCTAAATTTTGGAATGTAAAAAAAAGACAAAGGATAATTGATCTTTTTTTTAACTTTTGGGTATGTGTTACTTGGGAAATTTACCCTTTTTTTCTTCTGCAGCAATATATTCTATGTTCTTTGCAAATAAAGTTTAAAGAAACAGACATTCAATTATGTTTTGTTATTGGAGTAATATATAGCAAGAATGACAAAAGGAAAATTATTCTTTTACTAATTTGTGATTAAATTTTCAGGGCAAAATATCACAAATTAAAATATGGCACAGAACTGAACCAAGGTGACTTGAAAATGCCAACCTTTGAGTCAGGTAAACTTGATTCTTCTGTTACCTTTTTTTTTTTTTTTTTTAAATTCATTCTTTATGTAACAGATATGTTCTCTTTACCCACAGTTTGGTTTGATAATATTAGTTAGAGAATGACCATTGTAAACTGTCTAGAGTTTGGGGGAAAAAATATATAAAAGTAAGTTGTTTCATGTATATCTCAATCCTGAGGCGACTTGTCTCCTTATCCTTGAGTGAAACCTATGTAAAACTGGTTGTGTTTATGGTAGTAATTTGAGCTGAAACGTAATGAAGTTAGGTATTATAGTAAATTTTAAAAATTTAGTTAATTGTTTTTTAGTTCAATATTAAGTACGTAGAACCTGGCAGAAACACACAGCATGCGTACAATTTGCAGTTGATTTATTTTTTAGTCTTTAACGTTTTCAGTCTTAGCAGCAGAACTGTTTATTATAGCTTCCATTTGTTGTAATATATATAAATTAAGAGACCAAGATGGAAGTGGCATAGGTTTTCTTTGACCTGGCTTTTCATTGGTTATGAAGGCTTATTTTGATGTCAAGAAACTATATGTTAGAATTGCCTCGTTGGAAAAAGCAAAAATCAGGAACAGAAACATGGAAGAGCTGTATGTTTTGAGCCATAATTATTATAGTGGTCTCTTTGCAGTTAGAGGAAGTAGAGTGACTTCACCAGAAAAATACCTAGTAATTTTTTGGGGGACTCATTTTATTTCCAGTATGGCTAGAATTTTCAGAAAATAAGCAAGGCACTTCTAGAACTGTAGGGCTTCTGTGTAAAGGAAGGAGGCTAGTTAAAGCCACGCTGTACCTGCAGTAGAGGCTAAGCAGAGTCAGAATTGGCTAGATAGATGGTTCCAGTGTAACAGTTTGTATAAAGCAAGATAAATCTTTTTTGCTCACAACTGAAATTGTGGCAAAATAAGTCTGCTCTTTGTATCTGTATAAACCTAAATATTAAAAATTCCTCAAGTTGAGGAATAAAATAATATCCAGGTGTTTTCTTTACAAGACACACAATAACAGCAAAGTAAAATGTTTTCAGGATGTTTAGTGGAAAACCAAACAAAGGGATGGGCGAAAATACATCATGTGAACAACATATTATAGGATTATTTACATCAGAGTATACGTGGAGATAATACTAAATGAAGCAATGTTGCCTTTTGTATATCCCCAAAGAAATCAATATAAGAAAGAAAATGTACAAAATATTGATTTGACCAAAGTAGAAGATATGTGTTTATACCCTTCTCTCAGTAAAACAAATAGATATAGCCTAAAACCTAACCTTATAAAGGGGCTATATTCAAATATTTAAAAGAGCTCCCTCTCTTCTACATTTAGAAAAGACAATCAGAAAAATGGGCAAAAGACTGTAAAAAAAAGACACCCCTTAGAAGAAAATATATATAAATGGCCAATAAATATATGAAATATTGCTTGATTTTTATTAGTTATTAAGAAAATACAACTTAAAACTACAATGGAGTACAACTAGACACTAACCAGAGTGGCTAATATGCAAAAGAGGCAACATCAGGTGTTGAGGATGTGTTGTAACCAGAATCAGTAGACATTAGTGTTAGGATTACAAATTGATAATGCTGCTCTGAAAGTGACTTTACACTATGACTAAAGAGGATACTAAAGGATCCTAAACGGGATGTAACATACATAACCTAGGCCAGGTGCCATGGCTCACTCCTGTAATCCCAGCATGTAATTCCAGCATTTGGGGAGGCCGAGGCATTCGATCACTTGAGCCCAGGAGTTCAAGACCAGCCTGGACAACATGGCAAAATTTCATCTCTACATTAAATACAAAAATTTCTCAGCCTTGGTGTTGCACCCCTGCAGTCCCACTATTTAGGGGGCTGAAGTAGGAGGACTGCTTGAGCCTGGGACGTCAAGGCTACAGTGAGCTGTGTTCACACCGCTCCATTCCCTCTTGGGTGACAAAGTGAGACCCTGTCTCAAAAAATATTTATGTACATACCCTATGATCCAGTAACTCCACTATTCATAAAGTATATATATGTTCATCATGAAACTTGTATAAGAATCTTCATAGCACCATTATTTACAGTGAAAATCTGGAAACAACTAGATTGTGGCAAAATAAGTCTGCTGAATTAGATTAAATGGATAAGTACATTGTGATATATTAGCATAATGGAGTGCCGTTTGGCAGCAAAAGTGAGCAAACTAAAAACTAAATGTGACAACATGGTTTAATGACATAAAATTGAAAATCAATAGAAATTATATTTAAAAATCTAGATAATTTTAGATATTAAGATACTGTTCATACCCTTTTTGGAGTGGCTAATGACTAGAGGGCAGAAGGAAGGCTTTGGGGATGCTGATAATGTTTTGTTTCTTCATCTAGGTACTGGTTACATGGGTGTGTTCAAAAATTCCTTGAGCTATACACTTGATGTACTTCAAGAATATCCTTAGCAACATTATTTATAATAGAAAATGGAAACTAATTTCAACATTAGGGGATTGGTTAAATAGGTATATTTTTTCTATAGAATATTATGTAACCATTTTTAATGCTAATCTATATTGCCATACAGAGAATGTTCAAGGTAACTTTAGTGTCAGAAGCAGATTATAGTGCAGTGTATACTTTAGGACATTTTTTTAAAAGGGTGGGATTGTATTAGTCATGTATATCTTCAGGTAGAAAATAGGGAATGATAAACACTAAAGTACTACCAGTTGTTAACTCTTGGTAATAGGGTTTTGGACAGCTGTATTTCTTTTTTTTTTTTTTTTTTAATTTTTTTTTTCCTCCAGTGATTATGTGTTGTATGTAACTTTAAAATGTTATAAATAGAAAAATCAGGGTGACTATTAGAATGAAATAATTATTTCTGGAAATCAAAGAAATGTTTGTGTTTGGGATAGAATAAGACGTGGTTTTGTTTTGTTTTGAGACAGAGTCTCATTCTTTTGCCCAGGCTAGAGTGCCAGAGGATTGCTTGAGCTTGGGGCAGATCTTGGGTCACTGCAATCTGTGCTTCCCGGGCTCAAGCAATCCTCCTCAAGCAATCCTCCTCCCTCAGCCTCCTAAGTAGCTGGGACTACAGGCATGTGCCACCATGCCTGGCTAATTTTTGCATTTTTTGTAGAGATGAGGTTTTGACATGTTTCCCAGGCTGGTCTTGAACTACTGGGCTCAAGTGACCCACCTGCCTTGGCCTCCCAAAGTGCTGGGATTGCAGGCCTTAGCCACTGTTCCCAGCCAGAAGGTATTAATAATTGGATTGTTAGGGTTAGAGAAATAATGCCTGTAGAGGATATGAATTACTACCAGCAAGTACTAAGTGACTTTGAGGAATCTAGGAGTCTCACAGAGTCCTCAACATTCAGTGTGAGGGTTGATCTTCGAAGCCCCTCTCTTCTTCACTGTGTCTTTACTTTAATAATGGGAATTTATGAGTTTATGGGGAAATATTTCTGTGATATAAATGTCAATAAATAGTTTTAACTTTTGTTCTAGAGATGCTTGTTGAGCTTTTTAATTTCAAAGGCAATCAACTCAGCAGAGTTCTAGTAACTAAAAAAAATTAATTTGCCAGGCATGGTGGCTCATGCCCTATAATCCCAGCACTTATTAGGAGGCTCAGGTGAGTGGATCACTTCAGCCTAGGAGTTTGGGACCAGTTTGGGCAACATGGCAAAACCTTATCTCTTCAAAATTCAAAAATTAACTGGGCATGGTGGTATACATTTGTGGTCCCAACTACTTTAGGTGGGAACTCTAGAGCCCAGGGAAGTCGAGACTGCAGTGAACCGAGATGTTTGTTGCCACTCCAGCCTGGGGGACAGGGTAAGACCCTGTCTTAAAAAAAAAAAAAAAGAAAAGAAAAGAAAAAAGAAAATCAGTTCTAATAATATTTCATCTCCTGGGTGTTTGACTTTTGAATCCTTGATACTAATAAAGTACGCTTGGGGTTTCCCTGTTTTAAAATGGGGAACGTAGTACTTAAGTCATTGGGTTATTGGGACACATTTAAAATGAGTAACTCACAGTTAATACTTAGTAAAAGTTAATTTTTCCCTGTTCTTTATAAAATATTTAGGTATTTTTTTGGGGAGTTTATCTGTAAGAAAACTTTGGCAATATTTTCAGGAGCTGAAATAATGTATGTAAAACTTTTTTTGCTTACTTTTTAGAAGAAACCAAAGACACAGAGGCTCCCACAGCACCTCAGAATAGCCAGTTAACGTGGAAGCAAGGCAGACAGCTTTTAAGACAGTGAGTATTTATTTATTTTCAGCCTTCTTTAAGGATCTAGGTATGAAAGTTCTTATATTGAATCAATTTGCAAGTAAAAAATTGTATTGGGACAATGTGTATGTGTTTTGTATTGCTGCTTTTTTGCTGTGTAGATGCTTGGATCTTTTTAAAAGTTTGTTTCCTCTGAGTTTCAGGATGATGATGTCTTCTTACTTGCAGGGTAGAATGTCTAAATGACTGAATGACATGAAGAGCAGAACAAAAACAATATAGAACTCATACTTCCTAGACCCCTCCATTCCTATCAGTGCAGAATTCACACAATTCAGTATGGGTGTGAGTGGGCTAGAAAATGAATTTAGCTGAATTCATCTGAAACTTTTCAGAAGTGGATTGCCAAATCCTCCTTTTACTTGAATTTTCTAGGAGCCTTTTTGATTTTTGAATTACTTGTTGGAAGTATTTCTCTGGTTAATCTCTCTCTCTTTTTTTTTTTTTTTTTTTTGTCTTTCATCTGTTATTTTCCTTATATTTTGATTTTGGAATTTGTGTCCTACTGATATCCTGGGTGATTTTCAATTATTCAGTGTTTTCCGCTCTAGGTGTGTTTACCTTCACTCTTGATCTTATAGAACTATCTTTAGATTCCATGGCCTGGACAGTCACCATGCATTTCACCTCTGAGCACTGTGTTATTTGCCCTCTGACTTTACCATGATTTTTAGATCCTTGACTATATCATTTTCTCTTTAGCTGTTCTACCTATAGTTGCATTTATTTTATTTCTGTTTTCCTAGTCCAGCTTAGACTCCGTAATTGATCACCCTTATCTAGTACCCTTAATTTTCTTGCTACCCACTGCTTACCACTTCCTCGGCAGTCATTTTACTGAATTTACCTGCAAAACTTGAGCTCTAGTTCATTCTGTCTACTGCTTCTCTTTTTATTTAACTCTTGGATAAAAACTACAGACTCATGTGAATGCTATTATATATTCATGGTTTCCGGTCCAAATGTTGCAGAGAGCCCTTTTCCATAACCCTTGGCCACCCTCTGCTTCCATTGTCCCCACTGGATATTCTAAACTTTTACTGCATCTCAGCCCATTCTCCCTTATTTCATTAGAGCACTTCAGGCTCTGCTTCACTGAAAATATGAAGGCTGTCAGTTGAGAACTCCCTTAACACTTTGCTTTCCTTTCTGTAAATGTATTTTTAAATTTTTATTTATTTATTTATTTGTTGGAGTCTCGCTCTGTTGCCCCGGCTGGAGTACAGTGGCTTGATCTTGGCTCACTGCAGCCTCCACCTCCCAAGTTCAGTCAGTTCTTCTGCCTTAGCCTCCCAAATAGCTGGGACTACAGGTGCATGCTGCCATGCTCAGCTAATTTTTGTATTTTTAGTAGAGACAGGGTTTCACCATGTTGGCCAGGATGGTCTTGATCTCCTGACCTCATGATCCATCTGCCTTGGCCTCCCAGAGTTCTGGGATTATAGGCATGAATCACTGTGCCTCTGTAAATGTATTTAAACCGCTTATCTTTAGTTTCTTATGTTCCATTCAAAAAGGTATTTATCAATCCAGGCTCTCATTATAAGTGACTAAAATTTGAAGAAAAGAATAGATTATTAATTGGAAGGATGCTGGATAACCCGCAGAATTAAAGGAAATGGTGAAATAGTGAACAACCAAGTGTCAGGAAGTGAAGAGCTAGGGTAACTTGGAGACTGTCTCAGACTGGAAACTCTAAGTCAGTCATTTTTACCTGAGTTGTATGAGATCTTGGCAGTTCGTTCAGACCAAATGGTTAGAGTATGATAGGAGCTGTTCTCTCCAAGAGAGGACTGCATTTTTTAGAAGAGTGAGGACAGTTGTAGAGAAATCACTTGGACAGTATTTCTCTCATAAATGCCTAATCCCATTGCCTGGATTTACAATTTAGTCTCTTGACACCTTTATCTTTCCCTGTGACTTTATAGCCAAACTTGTTAAGAGTAGTTAGTCCCATAGTCTTCATTCTTGTTCATCAGCTGTTTTCTGTTTTGACGTTTGTCTGAAGCAGCTATCACAAACATATTCAAGAGACCTTCTTTGTTATAATTGATATCTTGGAAAAATTTGACATTGTCTATTCCTTTTTGAAATTTTTAGTTTTGCTTTCATGACAGCACTCTGCTATCATTTTTTTCCTCTAATTTCTCAAGTATTTTCATTTTCCTTTGAGTTTTTCTTATGATTCTAGTCCTTTGGGTGTTTGTATACCCAGACTTTCTCTTTTTATTTATGCTTATTCTGTGAGTGACTTCATTTAAATCCATGGCTTCAAATAGTACCAAAGATTAATGACTCAAATCTGTATACCCAGGCCAGTCTCTTCTTAACTTTTGATTTGTATCATCTATGTGCCTAATAAACATTGCCACTTCTGTTTTTTTTTTATAGACACTACGTGGTTGCCTGATAGGTACTCTGTAAACTTGATTCTGACTCTATATTTATTTCTTTAAATGTACCCGTCATCTGGCTGTCCAAGCTAGAAACCTGAAAATTGTCCCAAAGTTTTTGTTTTTTCATTCTACTTCCACATATATTTGTGCATCATGTCAAAAAAGATTATATCTTGCTTATTTTTCTCACATTTATTCTCCTCTATTTTTACTTCTTGCTGTGTTAGTGTCCTTATCTAGTTTTTTTCTCTTTATCATTTACCTAAAAATCTTTTGTTCTTCTGCCAGCAGTATTTAAGGCTTCTTTTAAGCATCCTTCTTTAGCCTCTTAACTACTTTAATTTGTCACAAAGCCATTCACAGCTCATTATCCGTGTATCATAATCTAGTCCCTTTCTTCTTTTCCAGTCTCATCTTAGATCCTAGGTTAAGTTCCTTGGTTTAAATATAGTAAAAGATTGAAAACCACATTACTAAAGGAGTGCTATATGGGATCTTAGATCCTAGAAGGAGAATTAGTGTATTCATCAATCTGTAGTTAACAACCTCAAGTTTAAACTTAGTATGTCTTTGTGCTAAGATTCAGTTCTCCTCATTCTTTACCACTCCTTGGAAATTAAAAAATGTGTGTGTAGTGTGTGGCTGTGTGTAAATTTAAAAGTGTGTGTGTGTGTGTGTGTGTGTGTGTGTAGATTTTTAAAAATGGCCGGGCTCAGTGTCACACCTGTAATCCCATCATTTGGGAGGCCCAAGGCGGGTGGATCACGAGGTCAGGAGTTTGAGACCAGCTTGACCAATATGGTGATACCCTCTCTCTACTAAAAACACAAAAATTAGCCGAGTGTGGTGGTGCGTGCCTGTAGTCCCAGCTACTTGGGAGGTTGAGGCAGAAGAATTGCTTGAATCCGGAAAGTGGAGGTTGCAGTGAGCCGAGATCACACCACTGTACTCCAGCCTGGGCAACAGAGCAAGACTCCATCTCCAAAAAAAAAAGAGAAAAAAAAGAAACAATTGTGGTTGTGAGTGTATGAAAATTTAAAAACGTGTGTGTATGTGTGTGTGTGTGTGTGTAATCCTAACAGCATTTTAAGGCACTAGGGCTTCTTGGGTTTTGAGATAATTGGCTCTTAATCAGTGTTAACCATACTCATGCTTTTTAATTTAAATTTTGGTTTGTAATTGGCATAATTCTGTTAGAAATGGAATTAGTCTATAGAGAAGAAAGAAACCGAGACAAAGGAAGAGTATATTTTATAGGATTATGGGTTTCTCTAAAATTCCTTTGATATGATTTTGAGTCTGGCGCTTGTTAACAGTATGTGGATTTTAATATTTATTTTCTCTTACAGGTATCTTCAGGAAGTAGGTTATACAGATACAATATTAGATGTACGGTCTCAGCGGGTAAGGTCGTTACTTGGACTATCTAATTCAGAACCAAATGGATCAGTAGAAACAAAGAATTTAGAACAGATCCTAAATGGAGGTGAATCTCCTAAGCAAAAAGGACAAGAAATAAAAAGGTATGTTTTATCCTTAACACAGTTTATATAATGCATATTATGAAAATTATTACTATTAATCTCTTTAGCTTCTTGTTACTGCTATTAAAAAATTTTTTTTTTGAGATGGAATCTTACTCGTTTCCCAGGCATGAGTGCAATGACGCAATCTCAGCTTAAGTGCACCCTCTGCCTCCCAGGCTCAGGTGATTCTCCTGCCTCAGCTTCTCAAGTAGCTGGGATTACAGGCACCCACCACCATGCCCGGCTGATTTTTGTGTTTTTAGTAGAGATGGATTCACCACATTGGCCATGCTGGTCTTGAACTCCTGACCTCAGGTGATCCACCTGCCTCGGACTCCCAGAGTGCTGGGATTACAGGCGTGAGCTACCACTCCCAGCTACTATTAACAATTTTTAAAGATCGAGTTCAGAGTTAAAGACCTAGCCACCTCCCACCCCTCTCCATGGTACTATGGGCAAATAAGTTTTCTATTTAGTGGCTTTTAAAAATTATCTATGTTAAGTTGGTGTTTATTTGTCTGTTTTTTGAGTCAGGGTCTGGCTTCATTGCCCAGGCTAGTGTGTGCTTATACGGTGTTGGCTCACTGCAACCTCTGCCTCCCATGCTCAAGTGATCCTCCCCGCTCAGCCTCCTGAGTTGCTCAGATTCCAGGCATGTGCCACCATATGTTTTTTAGAGATGGGTTCTTGCTCTGTTACCCAGGCTGGTCTCAAACTCCTGGCTTTAAGCAATCCGCCTGCCTTAGTCCTCAAAACTGCTGCAATTACAGGCATGAGCCATTGCACCCAACCTGTTAAGTTCTGATAACAAGAGAATGGCTGTAGTTCTGAAATAGGTGCAGAATCAGATTTGAGGCTGATTTTATGTAGTTCAGAGCTATTTTAACATCCTTGTTTTTAAATTTTTGCTAGAGTATTTTCAACGAATTATAATGCTTCTCTGTCACTAGAATGAGCAATAGTTATTTAGACACTAGTGTGAAAGAAACAAGGCTTTGCATTGCGTTTGGATTTAGAAAGCTACCAGATGAAAACATTTATTGAGATATAATTAACATCATAAAATTTACCCATTAAAATAATACAATTTAATAGTTTTTAGAATACTTACAGAATTGTTCAGCTATCACTACAGTCTAAGTTTAGAACATTTTCATCACCCCTAAAAGAAACCCCATACCCATTAGGTGGCCACTCTCCATTTTCCCCCATCTCCCAACCCTGGGATACCACCAATCTACTCTCTGTCTCTGTAGATTTGTGTATTCTAGATATTTCATATGAGCAGTCTTTTGTGAGTGGCTTCTTTCACTTCAGCATATTTTCAAGGTTTATCCATGTTATACCATGCATCAGTACTTCATTCCTTTTTATTTCCAAATAATATTCCATTGTGGATATATTACATTTGGTTTATGTGTTCCTTTTTTATTATTGTTCTTATTTTTGAGACAGGATCTCACTCAGTTGTCCAGGCTGGAGTGCAGTGGCGTGATCACAGCTCACTGAAACCTCAACCTCCCTGTGCTCAGGTGATCCTTCCACCTCAGCTTCCTGAATAGCTGGGACTACAGATTCACAGCACCATGCTTGGCCAATTTTTGTATTTTTGCAAAGATGGGGTTTTGCCATGTTGCCCAGGCTTGTCTCAAACTCTTGGACTCAAGCAGTCTGCCTTCATTGGCCTTCCAAGGTGCTGGGATTATAGGCATCAGCCATCATACTGGGCCTTCGTTATGTGTTTCTTCTGCAGGTGATGGGTATGTGGGTTGGTTCCAAGTTTTGGACTAATGAAGAAGATTAAGGACCTGCCAAACTCTTTTCCAAGGTGGTTTCACTATTTTACCTTCCCACCAGCAGTACTATAAGGATTCTGATTTCTCCACGTTTCATCATCATTTGTTATTGTCTAACAGATATACTTTGATTAATACAGACTTGATAAATATAAGGAGTTAAGCATTTTACCATGAGATGTTACCCTGAGTAACATAGGTTAGAAAGACAAAAGAAAATGGGAAAAAAAACAGATGAGTTCATTGAGGTCATTTAAAGCTTAAGAAATAAATGATATGGGCTGGGCGTGGGGGCTCACACCTGTAATCCCAGCACTTTGGGAGGCTGAGGAAGGCAAATTGCCTGAGCTCCAGAGTTCAAGACCAGCCTGGACAACACAGCGAAATCCACTCTCTACTAAAATACAAAATATTGTCTGGGTGTGACAGCATGTGCCTGTAGTCCCAGCTACTTGGGATGCTGAAGCAGGAGAATTACTTGTACCCGGGAGGCGGAAGTTGCAGTGAGCCAAGATCATGCCACTGCACTCCAGCCTGGGCGACAGAGCAAGACTCCATCTTGAAAAGAAAGAAAGGAAGAAATAATACGTATCATTTATAAAGATTATTTCACATCCTGGATATATTTTATGATATTGTACAGTTGTCTAAAATATATTCCTGTCAGCTGGGCATCTATTCCTATAGATGGCTCACATCTATAATCCTAGCACTTTGGGAGGCTGAGGTGGGTGGATCATTTGAGGTCAGGAGTTTGAGACAATCCTGTTCACCAACATGGTAAAACCCCATCTCTACTAAAATTTAAAAAATTAGCCAGGCAAATGCTTGTAATCTCAGCTACTTGGGAGGCTGAGGTGGGAGGATCAGTTGAACCCAGGAGGCAAAGGTTGCATTGAGCCACATTGTGCCACTGCGCTCTGGCCTAGGCGACAGAGCAAGACTCCATCTCAAAACACACACACACACACACACACACACACACACACACACACAGATACATATATGTATATGTATTTTTTTCTTTAAGGTTTATAGTTTTTTATTTTTATTTATTTATTTATTTTTGAAGACGGGGTTTCACCATGTTGGTCAGGCTGGTCTTGAACTCTCGACCTCAGGTGATCTGCCCGCCTTGGCCTCCAAAGTGCTTGGATTACAGACGTGAGACACTGCGCCCGGCCATGCTTAAGGTTTATAGTTAACATGTCTTTGATTTAGAATTTTTCTTTCTGAGAAATGAGCTCTTTAATAGTCACTTTGACATCAAATAGAGCCCTATTTTCTATAATGTGATTTCAGGAAGCACAGAGTGTTTTGTAGCAAGAGAAAAAGCAGAAACATTATCAAGTATTTTTAGCCAAACTGGTCACTGGATGTGATTTTAGTTCATAGGATTTATAAATATTTTACAGCAATACAAGTTTGCCATACTACATCTGACTCTGAATCTGAATGAAAGATCCTTTTTTGTTTGTTTGTTTTTTGAGACGGAGTCTCGCACTGTCGCCTGGGCTGGAGTGCAATGGTGCAATCTCAGCTCACTGCAACCTCCGCCTCCCGGGTTCACACAATTTTCCTGCCTCAGCCTCCCGAGAAGCTGGGATTACAAGCGCAGACCACCATGTCCAGCTAATTTTGTGTGTTTTTAGTAGAGACGGGATTTCACTGTTAGCCAGACTGGTCTCGAACTCCTGACTTCGTGACGTGCCCACCTTGGCCTCCCAAAGTGCTGGATTACAGGCGTGAGCCACCGTTCCCGGCCGATCCTTTTGTTTTTTTCCCTCATTCTTTGCATCGTCTTACAAAGATCTTCAATAAACTGTATATTCTTCTTGTAAAGCTTAAGACTTTGATAGTTTTTGGAGAGTGTGTGTGTGTGCGTGTATGTTAAACACATAACATGAGATCTGCCCTCTTAAAGTGTGCAGTATTGTTAAGCACAATGTTGTACAGCAGCTCTCTGGAACTTTTTCATCTGGTATGACTGAAAACGGTAACTTTTGAACCACAGCTCCCCATTTCCTCCTCCCTCTGGCCCCTGGCAACCACTGTTCATAATTGGACTCATGTAGTATTTGTCCTTCTGTGATTGGCCTGTTTTACTTAGTATAATGTCCTCGGGGTTCATTCATGTTGTCACATATGACAGGATTTTTTTCTTTTCATAACTGTTCCAGCGTATGCATATACTACATTTTGTATAAACATTAGGCAATATGCCTAATGGTTTATTTCTTTACCTGTTGATGGACATTTAGGTAGTAGTTTGTTTATTTGTTTAGTGTTGTTTTGAATGGTGTCTTGCCCTGTTGCCCAGGCTGGAGTGCAGTGGCACAATCACAGCTCACTGCAGCCAGAACTTCCCAGGCTCAAGCAGTTCTCCCACTTCAGTCTCCAGAGTAGCTGGGACTACAGCCATATGCCACCACACAGCTAATTTTTGTAAGTTTTTGTAGAGATAGGACCTCATTATATTCTCCAGGCTGGTCTTGAACTCCTGGACTCAAGCAATCCTCCTTCCACAGCCTCCTAAAGAGCTAGGGTTACAGGTTTGAGCCACTGCGCCCAGCCAAGGCTTTCTTCTTAATGAGTAGACTGACATTTTCTGATTCTGCCCTAATGTAGGCCTGTTATGGTTGAGCCATTATTAGGGCCATTTGAAAACTCCTAGGAAGAAGAAAATGTCTAACATGTGGATCAATATTTCAGCAAAATGATGTGTTTTTTCTTATTTATGATAGGAAAAAATTAGAAGCAATCTTAATGTTCAAAAGTAGAGGATGTAATTTTAGATTTCAGATCCCAAATTTTAGATTCATATTTTAGAGGCATTATGCCTAATAGTTAATATGAATTCTGAAGACAGAATGGATTTGAATCCTAAGTTAACCACTAGTCACAAGCCATCACTTAGGGCAGGGAATGTTACTTTTATTACTTGTAAAATGAGGATCTTAGGATTGATATGAAGAAGGAATGCATTAATATAAAGCATTTAGAACACTCCCTGGCACATAGTATGTGTTGCATAATTGTTAGCTATTAGGAAATATTGTGTATCTAGTTGAAATGTGATCCCCCACCAAGCCTAGTGTTTATTAGATGCTACTGAGTGACACTATTATATTTCTTGATTTATGGTAGGGGATGTTGTGGTTGCATAGTGCATCATATCACAAAGCATCTACTTTATGAGGA